GTGATCCGGGGACTATTTACAATTTTAATGTTTCAAGGACGCAAAAAGAAGGGTGGGGAATGGTGGGCCAGAGAACTCGATATGCTTTCGTATTTCTCAAAATGCAAGATACTCTTTGGTCAGAATGGCACTAAATGGTCGACTTTTTATGTAGACTTTTTTCTTTTCTTCTTTTTAAATCCCTACAGAGACTTGGTAGGCACCTGTGTGCTACACCAACTAATTAGAGCATGTACGTGTTACAGCTATATGCAATTTATAAATAATTAGTTTGTAAAGTGCTTTGAAATAGAAAGTGCTGCGCAAGTACTCAAATTATTATATATTAAAAGCCTCTGGTATGTAATCATTTTATTTAATAATTGGCTCTTTAAAAGGCATAGTACTTTACAGCTGAACAAGGTTTCTGATTTTAAATCATTCATATTAGTTTATTTAGAGTGAAAAGCTGTTAGAGAGCAAATCAGAGGTACTGATCAAGTTATTTTTTTCAGTTTACAGAAGTATATTTGACTCCTACCTATCTCCCTCACCTTTTTACGGAGCAATTCAGTCTTCCGTCAGGTTCCACTTTACTCACATTCTTTCCACTCATACACAACTCTTGGTTATCCTGCCTGCCCTCAGTCTTTTCCTTCCATCTATCTGCCTTCTAAAGGTGTTTTGTATCAACCTGTGCATTTATGGCCAATCTAAACCGATTCAAGACCGCAAGCCCCAAGATCAGCGATGATAAATCTTATAAGCACTGAAGCCATGTGATATGGCGGTAGTCACCAATGAGTGCATTTCTCACATGTATGGCTATTAATTACTTCAGTCTATGATCATCACCCTACACCTCTATGTCCACTCATTAAGGTTTGCTTTCATTTCCTGAAGGTCTGGGTTCAGGGGTATTAACCTTCATTTAAATAATCCTGTTTACTGTCCCCATAGGAACACTCAAAGGCAAAAGTTTTTGACTCTTTCTCACTTATCCCTTTAGACGTTCCCTACATTGTCAAGTGTTAATTTCCTTGCAATGACATTGGCTTTCCAGAATCTCTTCTGGATCACTGTAGAACACTATCCTGACCCTATGACTTTGACCTTCCCTCATCCCTGCTCTCACTAACATTTAGCTCCCCAATGCCCTACAGTGCATTTTCTTGATTGGAAAACCCAAACTAAGTCCTTTTCCTGTACAATGAGTGCTAATGTTTAGGCTTGTTAGGCACTAAACTAATATGCCTAGTGCCCAACAACCTCCCTGTTAATGTCAATCAACACTCTCCTGTCCTCATGTCCTCATGTGACTCATTCAATATCACTTTTCCCTCTCTGAAAGCACTGGCTTCCACACCTCATTGGTTGCTACTTTTGTACCCAATCTTTAGTACTGAACTCGCCCAGAGCTTGGTCTTGGGCCCACTTCTTTTATCAGACTCCAGTTTCTATGGATTTACATCATTTTTATGGCAAGAACTCACTTTTTAAAAATTTGAGTGAGTCAGAGAAAGAGAGAGGGAGAGAGAGAGAGAGGATCTTAAGCAGGCACCATACTCAGCACAAAGTCCAACGCGGAGCTCGATCCCACAACCCTGGTAACGTGACCCGAAGAACTCACAAAGTCTCTAGCTTAGAGGTCTTTCAGGGCCTCCAACTCACATATTTACTGTTTACCACGTTCAAAACGGAATTTTTGATTCCAGTTACCTTTTCCACTTCCCATCCTCCATTTCCCCTTAAGGTTCCCATTTTAGGAATCTGGCCCCAAACCTAGGTGGCAGTCATGTTTTCTCACCTCCAATTCCTGAGGTCTACCAATTCTGTATCAATTCTGCTCTAAAGTATATTCCAAATCAACCCTCCATTGCTAGCTTGCTGCCCTTACAGGCCAATGACACTCTTAGTTTCTCTGCTTCTACTGTGGCCGCTCTACAGTCACTCCTCCACACGGTATTCAAAGTATTCTGATGTCATTCCCATTATACTTAAAATCCAAACCCCTTACCACCCCAGCTCTTCTTCCTACCAAACCCACAGCACAGGCCCTTCTTTCTCCTTGCTTACCATGCTACAGATAAGCAAATCTTTCAATACTTCTAATTCCTCAGACCAGCAGTTTCCTGCTTTGGGACCTTGGCACAGCTATTCCACCAGAATGCGTTCTTCCTTTTGGCTCTCAGCCCCTCCTCTTCCTGTAATCTCTGCAAGAGCTTCCCTGACTTCCTTACCAAAAGATTCCCCCTCATGTTTTCTATCTTGGCCCTGTATTTGTTTTCACAGAATTACAACTTTCAAAAAAAAAAAAAATTACTATTCTCATGTATGCTCCATGAGAACAAGACCTGTGTCTCATCCAATAGTGAACCTATTCCAGGGCCTGCTATATACCCGCTGCTCAGTAAATACAGAAATCTATTTACCCAAAAAAGTTGGCTGAGTGCAGGAAATATAGGCTCTACGGAAGACTAGCAGAAAGAAGTCTGATTGGAACGAATAAAGGGCTACATGTCGTAACTACCTACACGGATTTACCGAGTATTTTCTAACTGTCTACTACCTATCAGGCACTGCACCATACACAACATAAGCACTAACAATAGCATAGTAAATCCAAGACCAGGAAACACAAGAGTATAATGAAAGCACAGACAAGTACCCAAACGACGTTAAGTTCTTACCTACACTAGAGCATGGTGGAGAAAGCATGTTCTGGGAAGACGGAACAGCAAAAACAAAGGCCCCATAGCACAGAGTGCTGGGGGTGGGGTGCTTAGGCTCAAAGGTTGGCAGATTTAGGGTGAATTAAGAGTCAAGTTGGGGTAGGACAGGTATGAGACAAGGTTAACGAGATTAACAGGACACCTGAGAACTGGTTCACTAATATTTTAAGTTAAGAAAAAAATTTTTTTCCCAACATGGAATTTCCTTCTCCCCATCCTTAATGTAACCCTGGGCTATACCTAGATACCCAGCTAAGAACTGAAAACGTTATCTCCTTTTGTAATATAAACTCTCTCGACCTACTTAGGCCATTTCCGACAAAACATCTTATTAGCGTCCTGAAATTAAAGCAGTAAACTGGTATCTATCCTATAAATGCTACATGTGAAACCATAATCCTCACAATTCTTTCAAATCATTCCCCACCCTTGCCCCTTGTCCAACCTAAGTCATAGCAAAGAATGCAATTCTCCCATGAATTACTAAAAAGTATCTAAAAAGAAGCCAAATCCTCCTCCCACTTCCCCATCTCCCCCCCTTTTAAACCAATCACAGTCGATCTGGGGTCACGCTCTATTGCACCTCTCCCACTTCCCCATCACAGCCATGAATGCATGTTGCACATTCTTTTGAATTCCCTTGATCAAAGTCCTTCCAAGGCCTGTAATTTTCTCATACCTTCCTTCCTTTCACTGTTGACTCAAAAGGAAAACAAACCCTCAAAGAGCCAATCTTCCAGACGAAGCAACAGAAACCACTCAAATTAGTTTAAGTGAAAGAGGGAATTTATTCGATGAATACAAAGGTTCTTGCGGGAACCCCCAACAGCAGTAGCAGGGTAACAGCTGGGTTCAAAGGTTGACAGATTTGGGGTGAAAGCACACCTTTCCGAAGAACAGAGCATGTTGTAGTCACAAACTTCTACTTCTGGGTTTTCCAAGATCACGAAGGGAACAGCCTCGAGGACGTACAGTGCATAAGGCACTAGAATGTGGATTCGCGTCTGCTTGCTTTTTGATCCTTGTATTCCTTTATGCTGGCCTCGAACTTGTCGAGCACATGCTGGCAGACATTCATGAGCTCATTCAGGCCTCTCTGAAATGGATCAACGGCTGGAAGAGCACCTCGGGTCTGAATGCGTAAATTAATTTTGCTCTCTGAAGGATGGGTTGTAGTGTAACCACAAAATTCCACTTCCGGGTTCTTCATGATCATGTAACGAAGAGAATTTCCTAGGGTATGGTCCTCCTCGTGCAATACAAATGTCACACAGTGTCTATCTGTTCCAGCTGCCTGGACCATTTCCAGGGCTGTCTTCCTCTCGCCTTCAGCCATTGAGGTCTTCAATCCAGATATTTTTCTACACACATATTTTTTATAAAAATGAGATCATGCTGAATATGGTTTTGTAACTAGCTTTTTTTTTTCACTTACTAAATCACAGTTGCAACACATTATACTCTAATGCACTCCAATTACAAAGAACTGTATTAGCCCCTTATTTTCCTGCCTCCACATGTTCTATTAATAAGTACAGAATTATTATCTCCAGTTTTTCCCCACCCGACGTGACCATCCACATGGCCACAAGGGGAGTCCCCTTCAAACACAAACGTTTGCTAAAATATTCTTTTGGTACAGTCGTAAGAAAGGGATAAGATTACAATAGGGTGCGCTCTGCTAGCGAATGAAAAGGCGTAGAAGTGTTAGAAAACATCAGAAAGGCGTAGGAAAACACAGACCTTTTTAAAAACAGAGACTGTGGATGACCATCGTGCAGGCCCCACTACGGTTTCCATTTTCAGGAGTAAACGAGAATGGACATTCTGAGAAATGTCAACCAGGCAGGAGGGAGGAAAAGAATTGAGCGCACAGAGGAGTAAGCTGGGCCGCAGTTACAGGGGCTTAGGCCTAACTGAACACACCAGTAGCAGCACTCGGGGCACAGTGGCCTGGTGCGTGAACTGACGTTAGCTTTCTACCTGGCGGTGGGCAACGTGGGGACTTAACTCCGGCCTCACAACTTGCGCTCCCTCCAGGACACCTGGTGGTACGGAGCGTTTCTCCGAACATCCATGCGTCTTCCCCTCTCCTCCCAGTCGGGGCCCCCGCTCCCCGCTCCGGCGCCCACTTCTCTCCCCTCCCCCGCTCTCCGAGCCAGGCGCTCGCTGCTCGGCCGGGCCGTGGAGGCGGAGGCCCCGGCCGGCCACCGGCCCCTCCGCCCCCCGGCTCCGGGCGCAGGGCGCGGCCCGCTCTTCCCGCCGCCCCCCCGCCCCCTCGGCCGTTACCTCTCCAGCTCCTGGTCCTCTTCCATCGCGGGGGCGGCTTCCGGGATCCTCAGGTGGTGCTGGCGGACCGGAGGCTCCAACCCATATCGCGAAACGTGCAGGCGAAGCAGGCAGGAAGGAACGACCGACGGAAGGCGCCGAAGACGGAAGGAGGGAGGAGGAGCCGCGGCGGCGCGGCGCGGCCCGGCCCGGCCGCTGGGCGGGGCGTGCGCGGTCCGCCCGGAGGCCCCGCCCCCAGGCCCCGCCCCCGGCGCGAGGAGGGCGGCGGCGAGGCCGAGTCGCTCACCTGGAGTTCCCGGAGCTAGCCGCCCGCTGAGCCGGCGGGGAGAGGTGGGGTCGGGCTCGGTCCCCTCTAGAGGCCGAGAACCGCCTGTGGGCGCTTGGGTTCCGCCCTCGGCACCTCACCCCAGGTGATGGTGAAGGGGCGGGGCCTTACCTGCCGGCCCCAAACCACCTTCCTTCTGAGGGCGGAATCGGGCCTCTTTCGGATTTGCCGCTCCACCCCTGTTCCTCCCCGGCGAGACCCCAAGCCTGGCGGGGGGCGGGGGCGGGGGGCTGTTGACGGCATGTTAGATTCAGACTACAGTTGATCGATACACCTTGATGAGTTTCACAGCAGACTAGGATGGGCTTGAGGCTGCGTTTGCGTCATCCGGGATCTTGCGGCTGCACACCTCGAACGGGTCAAAGGTCGAGGGGTCGTGGAGGAGAGTTTGGAAGAAAACTGCTCTTCTCCCCCCGCCTCCCGTCTTTTCTCTCCTAGGCTCCTTCCTACACTGGAATACGTACGCGTCCTGTGCCCCGGCCTTCCTTTTCCTGTTAGCCTTCTGGCTTCCTAAACCTCCTCACCTGCGGAACCGCTTACCTTCGTTCCCAGGTGTCCCTGCCTCCGGCCCGGCAGCCTTTCACCACCCAGACTCGCTCCCCGCCCTCCTTTTCCCTCCGTACCTCTCCCCTCTCCTCCCCCTCGGCTGTTCTTCTCCGCTAACAACCCCTTCTCCGTTCCTCGACCAGCCCCCCGTCCCTATCACCTCACCCCGGAGTCCTCTCGCCCCAGCGCACCCACTTCCCTGCTTTCCCGCGCCACCCGTCCTCGCGCCCCCACGCGACGGCCCTGGACGTCCACGCCTCCCCCCGCCGCCCCACTCCGGTCGGGGCGGCCCGCGCGGAGCGCAGGGGCACTTCTGGAGCGCGTGTCGGGCGGCGGAGTCCGGCGAGCGGCGCGGACGGCCGACGCCGGGTGGGGGAGGGCGGGCGGCGGGGGCGGGGGCGGGGCGGGCTCACTCTAACCCGGGAGCGACGGCCCGGCCGGGCCCGCCCCCCGAGCCCGGGGATACGCGGGGCTGCTCTCGGGCCCGCCTCCTCCCCGCCCCGTGCGGCCGCCGATTGGCCCGGGTGCGTGTCGGCTTGGGCGGCTCGGCCCCGGCGCTCGCCCCCGGGAAGGCAGCAGGGGCGGTTGAGAAGTGAAGTCTTGGCCAGAGTTTGCTTCTTGCCAGGAAATCCGCGGCGGCGGCGGCGGTTCCCCGCGCAGCGGAGGCCGCCTGGCTCCCGGCTCCCTCGGCGGGCCGCGGCTCGCGGAGCCGGCGCTGGGCTGCGGCGCCGGCAGCCGGCGCGCGCCCCGGGCGGCCGCGCTTTCCCGGTGAGTAACTTTGCCCTGCCCGCCTGGCCCCGCGCCCTGTCGCGGGTCCCGGCAGCCGCCTCAGGTGCGGGCGTCGGCGGGGTGCGGGGCAGCGCCGGGCGGGGCGGCCGACCTCCGCGGCTCTGCTCCTGGCCCGCGCGGGCTGCGGGAGAGCGTGGACCCGGAGCCGCCGTGGGGCTGGCGGCGCTCGTCCGGGGACGAAGGGACGGGGTGTCCTGCGCGGGGTGCCCGCCGCCGGCCAGGCGCCGGGGAGAGGCGGGAGGCCCTCGGCTGTTCGCATTTGGTCGTTCCGGCCGCAGTGCTGCCGCTCTTCGCGTCGTTTGCTGTTTTCAGGCCGGGAGAGGTGGGCTTGAGTTTCTTATTTCGTGTGTGTGTGCGTGTGTGTGTGTGTGTGTGTGCGCGCGCGCTGTAAACGAGAGTGGCACTAACTGCCTTGCATTGGATCTTGTTCTCCAGGAAAGGAATACGGAGGGGTACCCACCGTCCCAGCCTCTTGCCCAGGCATTCTCCCCTTTCCCTTGAGGCTGGAGAGGGTGGGAGATCACACGACTTCGAGGGGGTAATTTCCAAATGTGGCTCTCGATTTGGAAGCAGTTGCACCCCAAGCACTGTTCAGGAGAGACATCACTCGTTTTCAGAGCTTTGTGCCATATGTTTCAGACGAGGGACTGGTGACATACGGCAGTGTTTCTTCTGATATTTCAGTTTGCAATTAACATGATCAATGAAGGCGTTCGTATGTGCCAGGGGCTGCGGTAGAGAGGTTTCTCTTTAAATCACAGAAACCAGAAGTTGAGCGTCGAGCAGTGGAAGGAGGACACAGTTGTGAACTCAGGTTTATAGGAACTGCCTTCACTTTAAGAATGTCACGTTCTTATAGCAGTAATACTTATTTGTCAGCTGGCCTTCCTCCCAGTACAGATTTTGATTTTTTTTTTTTTCTTGCACCCAACGTGTCGCAGCACTGGTGAAGTTGGATCTCAGGACATCAGTTTGTTTTCTTTGTCAGATTTGATTCCCACCTTCACAATCCTTTAGAAAATGGACTTTGATCTAGTATCTTTTTTGGCCAGGCAAAGCTTTGTGGAGTCCTGGAGAACAAAAGTTTTTGCCTCATTAGCTTGTCCAAGTCCCACATGTGAGTTTTCCCGGAGGGGTAAAATGTAGGCCGACTCAGAGCCCAAGCACAATAACGGTACTTTTAATTTGGCCCACGTATGTGTTAAGATTCCTGATTCTGTATCTTGCTCCTCTCTTCTCATCAAGTTAGAAAAATTTCATTCTTTATTCATTCAGCACATGGTAGAGCGCCCACTGCCTGCTAGCCATGGATGGCTAGGGTCAGTTCTTCCCCTGAAGGTGATCACGGTCTTATTTGGAAGTTGGTCCATACCGGTTCCACTAGCTATCTGAAGTATTTTGAACACGGTGCTGTGGGGACTTACAAGAGGGAGCATTTCTGACTGAAGTCTGGTAGGGAAGGCCCCATCTAGGCACTTCTTGAAATTGCTGTGGAATTTTGCCTGGTACCTTCTAAGCAAAGACACAAACATGTAGGGTGTTGCTTTATGAGCCCCCGCTGTGGTCTCTGGCCAAGGAAGCAATGTTTGGAGCTGGAGTGGTAGTCAGGGCTTGGGTATTACTCCTTTCAGAGGACTTAGCACTTTGCCTTGATTACGGCAGGCACGCAAATACTTGTTGAGCAGACTTGAACAGAACCGTGGAGAATTCTATCTGCCAGATTAAGAAAGGTGGACCTTATCCACTCAGTGATACAAAGCTGCTGATTTTAAGTAGGAGAATATGGTGATAACATTTGTATTCCAGAGAGCTGTCTGGAGGATGGCGGGGGTCCAGAGGGTAGACTGCGTGGGAACTGTTACACTGGAGAGGTTAAGAGCTCAGGGCTTCTCAATTCACATTGTCTGGGTTTGAATCTGGTTCTGCCACTCACTATTTCTTCTTTGGGTTTTTCATTTCACAGGGTTTGGGGGATAAAAGGTGAAAAAAACATGCATGTTACTTAGAACAGTGCTCGGCACATAGTGAGGTTTTGGTAGATTCTAGTTGTTTCTCTGCATGAGATAGAGCAAACGTGGTATCCAGGAGGTATATTTGGTTGGATTAGGTAAGTGACTAGATATGATTAATAAGAGAGAAAGGATTCCTAGGTTTTTGACTTGAGTCGTTGGAGCGTACTGGTTAAGCTGGCTGTAGAGTCAGCACAGGAGTTCAAGTCCATTGCTTACCCATAGAATTACCATTCTGAGCTTTGGTTTCCTAACATTCAGGAAATGATCATAGTACCTGCCTAGTAGGGTTTGAGGATCAAATGAAATTACGCATGTAATGCCCTTGGCAGAGTACCCAGCATGTTACAAGTACTCAATAAATATTAGTTGTTCCTTTAGTGATGACGACATGCACAAGCTTGTGGAATGTTGGAAGATACGAGAAGAAGCAGTTACAAGCAACTGATGGTAGAAATGGGGACGAGATCATTCGTTTCAGGCCACTCCAGTGAGGTGCTAATGAGTGGTTGACATGTCTGGGATGAAGATGTTGGGTAGATGTGCTGGGCAGGAGCTAGGAAAGAATGGAAAAGAAAAAGTGAACATAAATCCTTTGTGGGTGTGGCTAGCTTTTTGGAAGATTTGGGGGAAAGGGAGGCAGAGGAGAGATTTATAATATGGCAGTGCCAGGAGTGTGGATACTGAGTTATATGCATCTCTATTCTTTTTTTATTATTATTTATTTATTCATTTTTAATTTTTTTTAAATGTTTTATTTCTTTCTTTTTTTTTTTTTTTTCTAGGAGAGAGAGACAGCGTGAGCAGGGGAGGGTCAGAGAGAGAGGGAGTCACAGACCAAAACAGGCTCCAGGCTCTGAGCCGGCAGCCAGCACAGAGCCCGACGCGGGGCTCGACCCACAAACCGCGAGACCATGACCCAAGCGAAAGTCGGACGCCCAACCGACTAAGCCACCCAGGCGCCCCATGTTTTATTTATTTCTGAGAGAGAGAGAGAGACAGCGTGAGACAGAATCTGAAGACAGGCTCTAGGCTCTGAGCTAGCTGTGAGCACAGAGCCCAACACGGGGCTTGAACCCACAAACCGTGAGATGGTGACTTGAGCCAAAGACAGACGCTTTACCGACTGAGCCACCCAGGCGCCCCTATTGTTATTTTTTTAATATTTATTCAGCATGTGTGTGTGTACGTGAGAGAGAGAGAAAGAGAATTGGGGAGGGGCAGAGAGAGAGAGGGAGACACAATCCAAAGCAGGCTCCAGGCTCTGAACTGTCAGCACAGAACCCAGTGCGGAGCTCAAACTCACTGAACTTGAGATCTTGACCTGAGGTGAAGTCAAATGCTTAACTGACTGAGCCACTCAGGGGCCCCCGGGGATCTCTATTCTTAAAATGCATCTTGGCCACACTCACGGGGGATCTCTGGGCTCATATAACCTGGTTGGCTCTGTGCCCTTCTCTCCTCTTTCTTTCCTTTCTAATTGCCCCCGCACCAAATTAAAATCTTTTTATTCAGTGTCTTTTTTAACTTTTCTTTGCTTATGGGGCTAAAGTTCATTCAAGGCCTGCCCACCTTCCTATATCAAAATCCAACAAGGTTTCTAGAAGAATCAAAGGTCTTGTTTCATAGGTTCCACTCAGGAAGCAGTGTTGGTTGAAAAAAATATTCATGTATGTATATATATCATTTGACTTGCGAAACATACATATATACACTTACATATATTTACATATTCATGAATATGTACATATATATTGCATGTTGAATTATGGTTGTATTAGACTTGGCTAGGCCTAAAATGATCCTGTTACAGGGCCTGAGAAATTTACAAAGAAAATCTCTTTTAGTTTTCAGTTTCTAAGTCTCTTTTCTCCAGAAAGTACGGAACAGCAGGAAAATCTATGATGGTATAAAGTTTTTTCGCCGCCTGGAGTTCAGAGAAATGGCTACTTTGTGTATTAGTCTAACAAAAACTTATTGAGGGAAAATTTTAGAAAGCAATTGCTCATGATCCCCATCATAATAATTGTCCTCGAGTTAGTATGCTTTTACAGGCACTGTAATTTCTATTCTTTAGAATGTGTGCTTCCGACAAGCAAGAATTATATGTCTGTTTTGCTTATTGAAGAGTTCGTGCATGAGTGAATGAAATGGGTCCTTTGGCTTTGAAATGTCTTGGCTCACAGATTCCTCTGAATCTGTGGAACAATCATTGGTCAGAAGGAAAACGAAAGAGAGAGTTGAGCCGGCAAGGAAACTTAAAGCACTTTATGTACTGATAGGAAGACATAGCAACTATAACAGAATGTGTGGCTCGTCCTTTTTTTTTTTTTTTTTTTTTTTTTTTGGTATGGCTCTTCCTGATTCTGTGATTTTAGTACCTACTGCAGTAATTATTTACACAATTCTTTCCTTCACATTTTACTTTGATAGTTTGATGTAGTATATGTGTGCTTTTTTATATATGTGAGATAGTATAAACAATCGTGTGTACACTTAAAAAGCATACCAATTGCCATATGTAAAACAAATGAGGTTTTAATTTTTCCTCTTAGAGTTCCTTTAAAATAACAAATTGCCCTTAAGTGTGTAATAAGCACCATTGCAAAAACATATGTGTATTTCCAAGATTATGAGGACCTATATCTCACGTAAAATAAAGTTACTACAAGAAAGTGGTTACAAGAAAGTTTCTAAAGGCTCTGTTGGCTATTACTTTGTTTTGTAGGTAAAAGTCAGTCCGGGAAATATTTATACCCTTTCTGCCACCCTCCTACACCTCCAAGTTGGGAGTTTGGCTCCCAATGTAAAAAATTAGTGGATCATCAGAATTCTTAACACTGTCCAGTGAAACTACATAAATAATTATGGAACAAATGAATTGGAATCCCTTCGCCACTTTTCTTCTGCATGATTTTAACGTTTGGCCTTGACTTTCAACTGTATTCATATAAGCTCACTTGATGTGAT